GAATTGCCTGAACCCAGGAGGCGGAGGTTGCGGTGAGCCGAGATCGCGCCATTGCACTCCAGCCTGGGTAACAAGAGCGAAACTCCGTCTCGAAAGAAAGAAAAGAAAAGAAAGAAAGAGGGAAGGAAGGAAGGAAGGGAGGGAGGGAGGGAAAGAAAGAAAGAAAGAAAAGTAACCAGGAGTCCTTAGCCTCCCATTCCTCTATAGAACCTTCAGGAACTCAGGATTTCAGAAGCCTGTCCCCATTCCTCCCTCAGGGCCCAGGAGTCTCTCTCTACTCTTCTTTTCAGGGGCCCAGTTCCTCCCTGCCACCATCCCTCTCCCTCAGGATCCAGGTTCTGAGTCCCAGCCTCTTCTTACCTCAGGGATTAAAGAATATAATTCCTGCCTCCTGAAGACTTGGGAGTCTCCAGCCATGGTCCCCTCCTCTTTTGGGACCCAGACATGTGATCCCCTCTCCTTATATACCCATAAATTTAATTCCCTAACCCTTGAAGACCTACAGATGCAGGTTCTGTCCCTATCTTTATTGGTGACAGAGAAATGGCTGTCCATGTCACTCTCCATCTGTGTCTCTATCAGCGAGCTTTGCCACCGACTGCGGCCTGAGGGAGGTGTTTACTGCCATGGCCACGGACTTGTCCCTCAGACACATCTGGGTGCTTGAAGCACAGAAATAACCCAATGATAAGAAACCGTTGGCCGGGTGTGGTGGCTCACGCCTGTAATCCCAGCACTTTAGGAGGCCACGGCGGGCGGATCACTTGAGGTCGGGAGTTCGAGACCAGCCTGGCCAACAAGGTGAAGCCCCGACTCTACCAAAAACACAAAAAGTTATCTGGGCGTGGTGGTGGGTGCCTGTAATCCCAGCTACTCAGGAGGCTAAGATGGGAGAATTGCTTGAACGTGGGAGGCAGAGGTTGCAGTGAGCTGAGATCGCACCACTGCACTCCAGCCTGGGTGACAGAGCGAGACTCTGTCTCAAAAAAACAAAAACAGGGGCCGGGCGCGGTGGCTCAAGCCTGTAATCCCAGCACTTTGGGAGGCCGAGGCGGGTGGATCACGAGGTCAAGAGATCGAGACCATCCTGGTCAACATGGTGAAACCCCGTCTCTACTAAAAATACAAAAAATTAGCTGGGCATGGTGGCGCATGCCTGTAGTCCCAGCTACTCAGGAGGCTGAGGCAGGAGAATTGCTTGAACCCAGGAGGCGGAGGTTGCGGTGAGCCGAGATCGCGCCATTGCACTCCAGCCTGGGTAACAAGAGCGAAACTCCGTCTCCCAAAAAAAAAAAAACAAAAAAGAAAACCAAAAAACGCCCACTGCCCCATCCTCCAGAGGGTAAGATAAACAAGGATGAGTCCTGTGCATGTAAGGTGTTTAGGAACATCGTGGGCTCCACCCATTCCATGTCCCTAGCACCTCCCAGTTACAACAAAATGTCTCCAGGGATTGCCACGTGTCTTCTGGGGGTGCAGCAGAAGCAGAATTGCCCCCAGTTGAGAAGCACTTGTCTAAACACTGAGGTGCTCTGGGCTTTGATGTGACCTCAGCCCCAGAGCTTTTAAGTATCATCTGTACCTGGCCAGGCGCAGTGGCTCACACTTGCAGTCCCGGTGCTTTGGGAGGCTGAGATGGGAGGGCTGCTTGGGGCTGGGACTTTGAGACCAGCCTAGTCAACACAGTGAGACCCCATCTCTATATAATTTTTTTAAAAACTAAAAATAATAATAATTTAAAAACTTTGGCCAGGCTTGGTGGCTCATGCCTGTAATTCCAGCACTTTGAGAGGCTGAGGTAGGTGGATCACTTGAGGCCAAGAGTTTGAGACTAGCCTGGCCAACATGGTGAAACCCCACATCTACTAAAGATAAAAAATTAGCTGGGCGTGGTGTCACACACCTGCAATCCCAGCTACTCGGCAGGAGAATCACTTGAACCCAGGATATGGAGGCTGCAGTGAGCTGACATCACACCACTGCACTCCACCCTGGGTGACAAAGCATCAAAAAATAATAAATAAAAATAAATAATTTTTAAAAGCATCATTTACACCTGATACCACTCAAGTGTACACTTTTAAGAGTGACTTTTCCTGGCCAGGTGCAATGGCTCATGCCTGTAATCCCAGCTTTGGGAGGCCGAGGTAGGCGGATCACAAGGTCAGGAGATCAAGACCATCCTGGCCAACCTGGTGAAACCCCATCTCTACTAAAATACAAAAAATTAGCTGGGCATGATGGCGTGTGCCTTTAATTCCAGCTACTTGGGAGGCTGAAGCAGGAGACTTGCTTGAACCCAGGAGGTAGAAGTTGCAGTGAGCTGAGATCACGCCACTGCACTCCAGCCTAGTGACAGAGCAAGACTCCGTCTCAAAAAAAAAAAGTGACTTTTCCCGTGAGCATCAGAATCACGTAATTACCTACCCAATAACCCCGGATGGAAATCTAACGGTCATCTCAAAGTCAATGAGACTAAACTCAAGTCCTTTCCTCATCCTGCCTACTCCCAAACCTTACTCCTGCTGGGTCTTCCCCTTCCACCTTTATTTTATTTTTGGGGATGAAGTCTCACTCAGTCGCCCGGGTGACCTCAGCTCACTGCAACCTCCCCCTCCCGGTTTCAGGTGATTCTCCTGCTTCAGCCTCCTGGGCAGCTGGGATAACAGGCACCCGTGACTATGCCCAGCTACCTTTTTGTATTTTTAGCAGAGAAGGGGTTTCACCATATTGCCCTGACCTCAAGTGACTGACCTGCCTGGAAAACCCAAAATACTGGAATTACAGGCATGAACCACCTACTCTTTTTTTTTTTTTTTTTAGACAGAGTCTCGCTGTCACCAGGCTGGAGTGCAGTGGCACAATCTCGGCTCACTGCAACCTCTGCCTCCCGGGTTCAAGCGATTTTCCTGCCTCAGCCTCCTGAGTAGCTTAGACTACAGGCGCACGCCACCATGCCCAGCTAATTTTTGTATTTTTGGTAGAGACAGGGTTTCACCATGTTGGCCAAGATGGTCTTGATCTCTTGACCTCGTGATCCGCCCGCCTTGGCCTCAGAAAGTGCTGGGATTACAGGCGTGAGCCAAAGGGCGGCCGTGAGTTTCTACTTATAAGGCTGCACCAAAAAAAAAAACGTCTAGCAGAGTCTCCACTCAAGAAATATTGGAAGAATGAAAAACAATAAAAACTAATAGCAGGCACTTACCTGTCAGGCCTCACATTAAATACATTTCACATTCTATCGCATTTAATCCTTTCATCTACCTATGAAACCAGTAAAAAAAAGCATTAACTCCGTTTAATACTCGAGGCAACCAAGAGGTCAACTAACTCAAGGTTTCTCCATAACCTGGACGGCTGAAATTCCAGGAAGGCTAGCTATTGAGTCCACAAGCCTAAGTACATTGCTTCTGTAGAGTAAGGCTGACTTTACAGAAGTAGAAACTGAGGCCCCATGACGGTGAACTATTTACACCAGCGTGCTGCCACTAATTAGAGGCAGGGCAAAACCAGGCTAAACAAACTACAACTCCCATGAGCCTCCGGGGCAGGGGCCCAGCCAGGGAAGCCGCAGGCTACCCTGGGGCCTGCTGGGAGATGCAGTTCTGTACCGTCCCTGAGGCTGGGCGGGCTCACTCACCGCAGCACATAGGAGCGGGCAGGGGCGCTCTTGTAGATGTACTGCGCCAGCCACCACTGCACCGTCATGTTCCAGTACCGCATGCCATCGCGCACCCGCACGCAGAAATCCGTGCCGTAGCAGTCGATGTTGCGGATGGTCTCATAGTCATACTCCAGGGAAGCCGCCTTCTCCGGACTGGGGGTGGAGGATGAGGGTGGGGGACAGACATGCAGCTCAGCCAGGCCCCCTCCCGACGCCTGCTAGTGTCCCAGCCCCGGATGCTAAGGAAGGGATCCTGGCCAGGCAATGGCCCTCTGGCTGTCCGATTTGCTAGGGCGACAAGGGAGGGTGGCCCAGAGGGTGCCTGTCGGGAGGAGGACGGGCGGGCCGGGTGGTACAGTTCACCGACAATGGGGTTCTTCTTGTTTTCGTAACTAACGGGGCCAGCCACAGCCATGAAAAGCCTTGAAGGGCTATGATTGCCAAGCTATGAGTCCTTTAGCAACCAAGCGCAGTATATTCAGAGAAGCCTCCAAGGATGGTCCCTTCTAAACTGTTGGACACTGCTGTTGCTAGGGAAGTATCTTCCCTAATAACAGGGTGATTCACGGTTGCTAGGGAGATGTTCCAGTCGCCAGTGGGGTCTCAAGGATCTCTGTTGCTAAGGAAAAGGCATTCCTTAGCAACAAGGCCTAGGATGTTTAGAAAGGCTTTTAGAAAAGGGCCTTTTTCCTGGTCCCAGTGATGTTGAAGAGTCACCTCTAGCAATACAGTGGCTCTCTCGTCACTCGTGCCAACAGCCCCAGCAGTGGGAAACCCTGGCCCACATGAAGACCTGGTGGCCTCTGATGACAGAAGGGAAGCCATCTTGAGGAGTGGGGGCCAAGCGGATTTAGCAAAGCCTTCAATTCCTGCTTGGCTTTTCTTGGGGGGGACATCCTATCTCTAGCAGCTGGAGGTCAGGGCATGGTTATGAGGGCAGTGGTCATAAACTCTCATGGGGGTGTCACTACCCCACAACCGATGGCAGTTTTCGACAAGGGATGGCACAACCCTAGCAGGGAATAGTTCATCATTTACACCCACAGGCTGCTGCCCCAGCCACAGTCCAAGCCCCTGGGGGAAGGCTAACTGCAGCTGCCAGGAACACAAGGGCAGTCTACTCCTGGTTGCCAGGGGTGCCATTTCCCTAGCAACACAGTGGCAATACTTCCTCAGCCACAAGAGAGCCCACAGCTATGGCCGTGCGGCTTGCCTAGCGATGCCGGTGCTGGGGGATGCAGCCTCTCTGAAAACAAGGGTCAACCCATAGTCACCAGGGGGAGGCCTGGCTTCCTTAGCAACAGTGTAACTGGAGTTGCTAGGAATGGCATCAGCTCTGCTGGGTAATAGCAGTTGGGGATCTGAAATTGCTATTTCCTTTCAAACAGAGGGCAGCTACATGACCACACCCCATGAGATGGAGGAGAGCTAGCTCCTAGAAACAGAGGGGCAGTACAGGGGGTGCCATATCTGCAGCAACACAGCAAAACTTCTGGCAAGAAGGTGAACTACTGTTGCTAGGGATCCTGCTTCCCTAGCAAAGAGTGGCGTTTGGTTGCTAGGTAACTGTTTCCCTAGCAACAGAGGGTGACCCACCACTACCAAATGATGGCATCCCCAGCAAGCAGGAACAATCTGGTTCTGGGGGTGACACTTCCGTAGCAACAGAGGAGTAGCACAGGGTTGCTAAGTTACCACCTTTTCCTAGCAACGGGGGTGGGGGGCAGTTCACCATACTGCGGGGTGACAAGCGCTAGCAACAAGGGGCATCTGTCAGTACCAGGGTTTTTTTTTCCCTATCGACAGCTAACGAAAGGTGGTACCCTGCCCCCTTACTCCCCACTCTCCTCCCTGCTAGGGGCAGAGCCAGCCCTTGGAGGTGGGGGCTGCTGGGTCTTGGGAAGCCTCCCTCCCGCCGCCTGACCTGCTGGGGGGTGGGCATTGGAGGGTGGGGCCGCCCCCGGCCCGGGCTTTGGCGGCCACGGGGTAGGCCCCGAAGCCGGCGGCAATGCAGCCGCACTCGGCGGCAATCCAGGCCACGTAGAAGCGCATGCGGAAGGCGAAGAAGACGGGGATCATGTAGAACAGGCGGGCGGGCAGCGGGCGAGCGTAGAAGGCGTCCTCGCGCACGGCCTCCAGCGGGAAGAGGTGGGAGGAGAGCAGGAACAGCAGGCCGAAGAGCGGGGCCGGCCAGGCGCGGCGCAGCAGGGGCCGCAGGCTGGGCACGGCCCCCGGGAAGGGCTGCTCCAGCCAGTCCAGGTAGGTGCGGTAGCGGAAGAACGGGCCTGTGGGTCAGGGAGGGAGGGCAGCGGTCAGATGGGCAGGTGGGCAGAGCTCGGGTCTGCAGGAGGAGGAGGAGGAGGAGCTTGGAGGGCAGGTGGGAAGAGGAAAAGAGAGGCAGAGACTGGGCGCCGGGGACACCCCAGTGGTAGGGACAGAGACCCAGAGAGATGGGGACAAGGAACGAAAGATGGGGGGACAACAGGACTCAGAGACAGAGACAGTGACAGGAAATTAGATAGAGGGGGCCAGGCGCGGTGGCTCACACCTGGAATCCCAGCACTTTCGGAGACCTAGATGGGAGGACTGCTTGAGCCCAAGAGTTCGAGACCAGCCTGGGCAAACCGGCAAAACCCTGTCACTACAAAACATAAAAATTAGCCGGGTGTGGTGGAGGCACTGTAATCCCAGCTACTGGGGAGGCTGAGGCAGGAGGATCGCTTGAGCCCAGGCTGCAGTGAGCAGTGACTGTGCTATGGAGTTCCAGCCAGTGACAAAGGGAAGGAGGGAAGGAGGAAAAGAGGGAAGAAGGGAGGGACGGAGGGAGGGAGGGAGGAAGGAAGGAAAGAAAGAAACTAGGAGATAGCTGTGGCACTTCAGCTACAACATGATGGTGGTCTGGCCTGGAGGAAGGAGTGTGATTCACAGAAGGGACCAGAGTTAAAATTTTGTATGTTCACAAAAGAACACATTTAGGTCAATGTAGTGCGGGAAGTTAAA